CTTCAATGCTCAGGAGTGACAAAGTACAACCATCTTTTTTCTGATGTGGCATTTGATTAAGACACAATTCATAAAGAGAATCAGACATTTGAGCACAAAGCATGCCTCATATTTATGGGTGGTCCTGAGCAGTGCAGGCCCTGCTGGCCCTTCCTTGGGAGCAGAGGGTGCCCTTTAGTGTGCTGAGGCAGCTGTTTCCTCTGCAGTCAATTTCCTGGTGAAGGTTCAATAACTTTCCCTGCTGGTAAAAAAAACTTGGATATTAAACTTGGCATAAATACTATTTAAAGTCAAAGCAACCCCTTAAATTCAAGAGGCGGGGACAAGGAAAAAGACAGAAGAGGTTAGATTTAAAGTGATACCCAAATTCCATGCATACTGCTGCCAAGCAATTTTTGATACATCCTTAGAAATAAGCTGAGGTGAACTGGAAACCATTTCTGAGAGTTCTGAAGGTAGCATTTCATAAACTGAGAACTGAGACTGTAGAGAAACAAGAGAAAGCTCTGGGTCCCTCTCAGACACTGAAGTCCTAGATCCCCCTGGGCTTCAGAAGAACCTCTGCAGAGGCCTCTGCGGTGCCTGGCTCTACCTCCCCTTCTCAACTTTCCCTGATGCCCTGGGCTTGGGTAAATGCCATGATGTTACTCGCTTCCTACAGAGCACATTCCTCCTCTGCAAGGGACTACTGCAAGGAGTGGCCCTTCCACACCTGGCAAAGAGTGGCCAGGGCAGTGGCTAGCCCAAGTGGCACCTTTGTGCCAATTAGGGAGAGGAGCAACCACTGGAGGAAAGGCTTCCCCAGCAGGGGGTTGTGGCAGCTCCACTCCTGCCTGCTCCTGCAGGGGCCCTCGTGTGGGCACATCTACTGGCATCACTGGCTAGTAGGCCTGTTGCCTGATGCTTCTTACTATATGCATGAGATATTTCATGGATAAAAGTTTCTTCCCAAATGGAGATTATTTAATAATAACAATAAAGATTAGAAAATCACATCCCTGGGCTTGGGTAAATGCCTCAGTCTGAGGAGGAGGCTATAAGATCCAATTTTTGAGGCAGCTGTTCTTATTTCAGTATGTAAAGGCCACAAGAAGTGTCTGTTCTTGGTACTTTGTTTTATACTTTACCAGGGTATTAATTTGCGACCTAGGCATTAACATTGAAATTTGAAATATGTAAGAAGTAGTCCGAACCCAAACAGCCAACTTGAGTTATTGGCATTTAATTACTGAGGTAGTTACGGCGCTGTAAACGAGTTCATCTCTGATTGTAGCTGTAACCTATGCAGTTCTGAATTGAAAGAAGGGATGATAGAAGATGGCAATATAACACAAGAATGTCCATGAGTTGGTTTTAATTGGTAAACTGGCAGTTTATAGTGATAACCGTTTGGTCTGTCCACCGCATTGGAATCCAAGGAAAGTACATAAAATCACAGGAGCATATAATTGGTGTACTAAACTCATTTTCTTATGTTATCACAGCTGGCATCTTCAGGTTATTAAAAGCCTTTAAACCAGCCATCTTCAAAGAGATCTAATTGTCAATATGGTCTTTATACATTATTCCTGTTACCATAGAGTGGAAGAGATATAAACAGGCACTAAAATCTGCACAAATTTTCTGTATACAACTTTCTTATTTCAAGTTCATGGAAGATCAGTAAATGTTAATGATGATAAAGAGCACTCTTCAGACTCTGGTTTCCTCATTAGATGCACAAGGCAATCAACCCATAAAGAATAATTTATTAACATTATAGCCTGAATCAGTCTTAAAAAAAATCAACAATAGCTAGTTCATTCAGTTCCAGGAATTTCTGTGATCTTTTCGTAAGTAGCCCACAAATAGGACTCTTTTTTGATATATAAGAACTAGGAAATGGAATCCCAGGTTTTGACATTCTTGGATGAGTAGAATTCCAGTTGGACAGTTCTAGACACTTCTAGAAAGGTTTTCATACTCAAATCCCATTATGATACATCTGGGGCAGCCTGGGCTTCCACTGAGGTCTCTTAGATGTGTGTGTGTATGAACCTCCAGGTCTTTTGGAGCATAAGATGATGATATCAGTTTCTTTTCAAACTCTGGCTTAATCTCTGAATCACTGATCACTGATCCCAGCTAAGCATAATCAATTGCACTGGGACTCAGTTATCCTTTAGCTCATGAAATCTCCTGTTAAATCTAATTTCAGATTTCCAATTGCTGCACTTTTTTTTGTTGTTGTTGTTAATCACTATCTTTGTTAAACAGTACTGCAGGTAGCAAAGGTTACAATATATTTGAATGTAAATATGGATTGTCTGTATATACTGGCCAAAACAAAGCATTTCATTACTGTTACTCAGTGAGCTGTAGAGGGGAAAACTGCCATTGCTTTTACTCCAGCCTGGAATTTTTGTAAATGCTTTTCACTGTGTGCAAGATTATTTTAAGCTCACTACATTTTAATGTTATTGCCACAGTTATAATAGACATCAGCTACCAATTATGATAATGTTTTATTTACATTATATATAAAGAAAAAGCCATTTGGTTAAAATTATCTACTATATCTCAATTACATTGTAATAAGATACCAGCTAATATCTTTCAGGATAAAATCTGGAGTAAATCAGTTAAGTTAATAATCTTGATATTTAAGATGAAATAACCCTTTGTTCTCAAATTTAAATACTTCATATTTTTAGTATGTTTGTGAAGTAACAATAAAAAAAGTGTAGCAAACTCTAAGACAATGGAGTTTCCCTTATTCTAAGCAAAGAATTAAGCCTGAATGTAGGTCAATAACCTCCAGAAAGTTAACCGCTATGGATTCTGGCCTGCTATGGCTCTGGACAGCACCTATTAAGTAGCTCTTAAAGTCATATTTAGTTCATTGTGAGCTTTGCTGTTTTTCTCCCTGTCTGTCCTTACCTCTTTAGCCATGATGATAATTATAATAATAGCAAAAATACAATAATAGAACATTATATAAGCATTTTAGAAGGAATTTGTGTGTTTTCACAAATAAGACTTCTAGGTAACTAAACTTTTTAACTGATCATAAAAGCATAAAATTTCATGTACAAATATTTTATGTACATATTTATGGATACCCATGCCATGTTCTAATACTTGCATACTAAAGTTTATTAGTTTTTAAAGTGAAAAAGCTTTAAATATTTTGATAAAAATATCTATAACATTTATATAACTTAAGTAAAATATGAAGAGCATGAAATGATCGTGTATTACCATGTTTCTAACATTTTATTAATGACTGTTTTATGTTTTAGAATATGGACGCTCTTTGGATTTATTTAGCCATTCATTCATTCATCCACTCAACAAGTGTTTATTCGGTGTTACTAAATTCCAAGAAATATAAAAGGCAATAGAGAGAGAGCTGGGAACACAAACATATGGAAAGCTATGCCTTGACGGAGCTCACGCTCTAGTCAGTGTGTGCTATAGTGTGACTGTGTCTCCCAAATTTTGTCCCCAGTGGAACAGTGTTGGGAAGTGGGAGCTTTGGGAGGTTAGTGGGTATGAGAGCTCTTCTTTCATGAATGGATTGATCCATTCACTTATTAATAGATTATTGGCTTATTTCAAAGGTGGCTTTGTCACAGAGCAGATCTTTCTGGCATGCTTGCTCTGTTTGCCATGTGATATCCTCTGCCATGTTTTGAAGCAGCAAGAAGGCACTCCCCAGAGGCTGAGCAGATACCAGTACCATGCTCTTGGGGTTCTCAGCCTCAAGAACTATGAGCTAATGAACCTCTACTCTTGATAAATGACTGTTTCAGGTATTTTTTTTAATAGTAACAGAAAACAAATTAAAATAATATGCAGGATGTTTGCTTTACCAGGGCCCCAACTGTTGTGGTTTTTGTTGCTCCATATCCTTCCTCTGCTGTCAGCAGTCACCTCTTGCTGGTACCATCTCACCTTTTTATCTGGGGGTACCATTGTGGGTCTTTTCCCTAAGCATCTGTCTAACCAATATTAAATCACATCCTTGGATGGATCCCAAGCAGCTTATCATATACCTGCTGTAGTTGTGCAGCCCTTCTGAGGAATTCTCCTATCCCTACCCTTAGTGTTTGGGGTCTTTATCCCCTTTTTTTGCTCATCTAATTCATTTCTAATAATCTGATTCAATTATTGCATCCAAAGGCCTCTGTACCATTTTTCCCCCCAGAAGGATAAATGCATGCATTTATATGTAAATGTGACAGTTGGAAGAAAAGCCATCACTGAGAAATATTACATATTAATATTACAGTACATAATATGATCTTTCTTATGGCTGTGGTAGATTTTCCTGCTGATTCTCTAAACCTCCACAAAAAGTTAAAAATGAAGACACCAGCTGGGCACAGTGATACATGCCTGTAGTCCCAGTGAGGCTGAGGCAGGAGATTGCAGGTTCAAAGCCAACTTCAGCAACTTAGTGGGGCCATGAACAACTTAGTGAGACCCTGTCTCAAAATTAAAAAGAAAAAAAAAGGGCTGGGGATATGGTTGGGTGGTTAAGTACCCCTGGGTTTAGTTCATGGTATAATCAATCAATCAATCAATCAATCATCAATCAATCAATAGAAAAATGAAGACACCAAGACTTTCAAAATGATGAAAATCAGTATCTCCTATGTTTTGGCCTTTGCTAAACGCTGCCTGGTACAATTGCAAATGAACAGTAAATTAGACATAAACCCAATGACAAAACCAGGTGTCCTAATTGTTACCATATCACAGATTCCCCCCCCCCATCCTGCTTACTTAATAAATGGGAAGAAATAATGAATCATTTAAGAGATCATGAGCGTGCTACTCAGTTATATATAAGTTCTCTTCCCCTTGAAAATGGAAGTATCCAAACACATTGCCCAGTTCTAGTCCTTCAACTCCCAGAGGGCAGGACTAATTTTATAGAGGCAAGTGACAAAGGGTCAGGAGGCCAGGCAAAGCTTAATTTTATGCATTAATAGTGCAATTATTTCCTTCCTTACCTTAAACTTGTCAACTTCAGCTTTTGAACATGTTGCATGGTATGATAGCACCTGATTCAGAAGAAAAGAAAAAAAACTTTAATAACTAAATATGATAATATTTTCTGAAATTCTGGTTTAAAAATGAGTTCTACTCATGTTTATTACCTTGACTTAATAGTGGATTTTAATTTATGGAATAAATTTTATATTAATCATCTGTGACACAGATTAAAGGTTACTTTGTACAAGATTTTTCTATAGGTAGTTATTTCATTTCTAATAATCTGATTAAAGGGACATTAAAGGGACATAATGAATAACGTCGCTCAAGACCACAGTTAACAAAGGATGTAAATACTTATCTTGTGAAATGCTCTGGAAAATAAGTAAAAAGTTAGTGTGTGTGTCTGGTGGCAGAAGCCATGGGTGTCTAACTAAACTTCCATTCCCTCACCTGTTCTCCCTTGCCTGCTTATGTTATATAGGATAGATTTCATTGTTAAGTACTTGAAACCCATTTTTTGTTAGAGGATTATAGTCCCTTGCACTATTGACATCAGCTGTAGCATGTGATGTGCTCTGGCCAATGGAAATTGGGGGGAATTGACAGATGCCATTTTTGAGCAGTATCTTGAAGAATGATCACATGATTCTGCCATCTCCTTTTTTCCTATCATGGAAAGGGCATGGCCCAAAAGGGCTGCACCTTCAGCCTGGAACCCAAAATATAGAAGACACATTGAGCAGAGTCCTAGCTAGCGTACAGCTGATGACATGTCATGTGAGCAAGAAATCAGCCTTTGTGGCTTATCACCACATCATAACTCACTGCAACAGAGGCTTAAATGCAAAACAAAACAAAATCCAATTCGCAGGCTCTGAGCAGCTCAGGATGGTCATGTGAGGTGGTCAGGTGATATAGCTCTGGTCAGGGAAATGTGGGTGGGAGTGTTGGGGCTGCCTCTTTCATTCCTTTTCCTTCCTCCCTGGAATTCAATTGCAGGCCCAGAGGGGAGCAAAATCTGGTGTCCATCAGATGCCGCCCATGAGTGTGACTGCCAGCTTGTGTAAACAGTTGAGCAGGGAAGGAAAGAGAAAAAACCAGGCCATGGGCTTCCCTGCCCCAGGATCCTTGTTTTGTGGGACAAATAAACATATCTGTTTAAGCCAGATATGTTACAAGGCATTTATATACACACATGCACACACAGTATGGTATATACATGTTATATGTTTTATGTAACCAAACTCATTCCTTATCTGTACGAATTTAAAAGAAAAAGTCTGGAAAATCCTTCTACCAATCTTAGAGAATCATAATTTTTCTCTGAAAAGTAATTTAGCATTTCCCCAATCTAATTAGCCACAGAACTCCATTTTGGATTACATATTCATCTAGTAGCCTACCAAACTAATAACCAAGAACTTGGATAAATAGGGCACACTCTGTATGATTGAAGCATACAAGAACAGACAAAATGGAAACTGTCTCCTCGTGGTTAGAAAACAGCCTGTTGAACCACACTGCCAGGGTAGCTCCTCATCTAACTCCTGCAAATTCAGGTAATCTCCATGAGCTTTGCTCATAGAACAGTAAATGAATTGTCCTATAGAGTCATCTTCAGATTAAGCAGTAAACTACTTAAAATCTGAGGTTCTACATGAAAACGCTAATAAGGGGATATTTTCAATTAAGAAAAAAAAAGAGTAGAATGCATTGTAAGATCTGTAACAATTTCTCAACATTTAATGAAAATACATTAAAATTCATAGGTATGGATATAACAAAAAATGATTAGGTTGTAAGTTGTTTCAAGGGTTATTTTCTAAAGTTTCCTTGAATTAAATAATATCTTCTCTCTCTTTGCAAACATTTATCTCACTGACTTTACTTCTTTTTCCACCTTTGGAAGAGACTCACAAAAATATTGTATTGAGAGATAAATGTTTTCTCTGAGGCTTGGTTATTAAAATTAAAGTGATTTTTCTACTGAGAAAATGTTAACCATGGAGATATTTCATGGGGATGTGTCTGTACTTAATAGATTTCTTAGGAAGATTAAATGCAATATTATACGTTGAATACATGGTACACAAGCAATCAATTTATAATTAACTTATTATATTAGCAGTCAACTAAAACTCTACCCAACAGATATTTGGCTGTCTATCATTATATGATCTTTATTGATTCATAATTATTAATAGACATTTTCAATGCAAAATAAGCAAATAGACCTTGGGTTTTTTTGGTTGGACTTTATTATGAAAAAAACCTAATTTTTCTATGGTTTCTTTTTGTTTACAAGTATATTTTTGCAGGTTAAATCTTCAAACTTGTCAAATCTCCAAAATAAAAACAATGAAAACCCAAATTCAAGTTGCAATTCAAAATCTCTGCCACCAGGTGGTGCTTACTCAGGTTTTTATTATCTAAAGCTTACTGCCCCTCCTTGTTTAAAATTGTTCCCCACTTCCTTTAATATACAAAATAACCCAAAAGCTATTTGCTCCACTAAATTGAAACTGTTTGAATCAATGAAGTAAATTATTATTACATATTAAGATTTTCTGCTCATTTAAAATTAGTTTCTTTTGTTTGTTATTGAAGTGTAGGAGTTCTTTGTATATATGGGATTCAAGACCTTTGTATATTTGGGATTCAGATATTTTTTTCAGAAATATCACCTCCCAGTCTGTGACTTATCTATTAATTATTTTTTCCTTTTTTTGAAATGGAGTCTCATTATGTTGCCCAGGCTGGCCTCAAACTCTTAGGCTCAAGCAATCCTCCAGCTTCAGCCTCCCAAGTCACTGGGACTATAGGCATGCACTGCTATATCTGGCTATTTTAATGTCTTTTTAAAAACAGAAGTTTTAAATTTTGATTTAGTGCACTTGCCAATTTTTATGGTTATTGTTTCATGTGTCCTTTCTAAGAAATATTTTGTACTTCTTCCCCAAGTTGAAGATATCTTGTGCTGCCTCCCAGAACTTTATAATTTGTCTTTAATGTTTAGGTGTATGATACATCTGAAATTAAATTTGTGTATGGTGTAACATTAAGATTTAAGGAAATCATTACTTGCTCATGATTCTCAAATTGGAGTAGTTCCTTATCTTAATCATTGCCCACCTCTCCTGCTAGACTAAAAGCACCATGAAGGAAGGATTAGCCCTACTAGTCACTAGTGTATGCCCTGTCCCTAGGAGTATACCTGATACTTAGTTAGCACTCAGTATGTTTGATGAATCAGGAAATTAAAAATAAAATCAACTTGAAAGAAAACAGCTCTATTTCTCATATTTTTCTGTTTGTTTACTAGTGGACTGAATTGGTGCCTTTTCCTGGATGAAATCATCATATATATATATTAGATACGAGCAGTATGTGTAGGGCTGATAGATCAGGCAAATAAAAACACAGGATGCCTCGTTAAACTTGAATTTTAGACAAGTGATAAATACTATTTTGGACCATACTAAAAAAAAAAAAAGATTTGCCATTTATCTGAAGTTCAGATTCACAAGGCATGCAGTGTTTTATCTGGCAACCCTACTTCTACCCACTCCAAATCAAGAGGGCTGGAAACAAATCAGGAGAAGGCTGAATCATATTCCAACATATTCTTGTTTTTCCTTTCAATAATATATCACACCCTTCCCAGTGACTTTTTCTTCACAATATTTAAAAGCAAGTTTATCACATGCCTTGAGTCTGGAATACTTTCTGCAATGCTGTTGTTATGAGTTGAATTGTGTTCCCCGCCATGCCAAATTCACTTTCTGAGTTCCTAACCCTCAGAATGTGGCCATATTTGGAGATGGGTTCTTTAAAGGCAAAATTAAGATATAATGAGGTCATATGAGTGGGCCCTAATCCAACATGACTGGTGTGCTCATAGAAGAGATTAGGACAAAGACAATACACACACTAAGGGGTGTCCAAGTAAGGACACAGCAAGAAGATAGCCATCTGCAAGCCGAGGAGAGAGGCCTCAGAAGAAACCAAACTTGCCAATAACTTGGACTTGGATGTTTTAGCCTCCAGAACTGGAAGAAAACAAATTGCTAGTGTTTACGCCATCCAGTCTTGGTATTTTGTTAAGGCAGCACTAGCAAACTAAGACAGCCACATAATTTTATTAATCTAATATGTGTAACAAAATTGAAGGGAATAGATCAAAAGCAATTCCTGATTACTTTTAGCATAGCCAATATTCAAAAGAAAATCATTATTCTAACATAAATAATATTATATGGTACAGTTAATAACTAAGAATGAAGCAAATTTCTAGTTGAGAACTAAATTTAATAAAGAATGGTATATTTTTAAGTATTACATTTAAACTTTCTTGGATAAGTTATAAAGATTTCTTCATAATTCCAGGCTTCATTAATTTTATAAGCTACTTGAATTCCCCAAATTTTATATTTCATAGCAAGTATCTAGTACACCATATGCTTTAGAAAATCATATCTTTGATCAAGCAAAAAAGTTTTAATTAATGCTTCAAAATAGTCTTGAAGAAAGAGTCATTTGCAAAATCTAGTGATATATAGACTGTCTTTATGAGAAACACTGGTAGGTTATGAGAGCTCAGTCATAACATACACACTAGTTAATTTTTTTTGACAGCTAAATAAAATGTGTATAAAGCTTACATACAAAAGTAAACAGTTGATCCACAGAACACTTGATGAATGTTAAACTTTCACAAAAAAAAATTTCTATCCCAGATAGATTTATTTTTTGTATGGGTGTTAATTTAGAAAATATTTTAAAGTTAAAACCAGTGACTCAGTTTTGGTGGTGAACTCTGACTTAAGAATTCTTTATAGTTTCTAAAATAAATCACTATTTGCAAAACCCTGCAACTTCAATTAACTTTTGGATTGAACTTGCTTCTAGCAAAATGAAAAAAAGCAAGATAAGGCAATTGTCAGATTCATCAAAGACAGAGCAAAGAAGGCCATTTTTTTGGGTTGAGTTTGCACAGCAGGAAAAAGACAATTAAATGTATTTCAAAGGGAAAGCAATAAGCAGGGCTATGAAATAGGACACTGTA